CTGGGTCCCAACCTTCCCACCAGAGCACAGAGGCTGAGCTCCATTGCCCTAGAGCATCACCAGCTGGCAACCAAGCCTCTGGCACTTCAACTCAGGTAAAGAAAGACATCTGGAAAATTCCTAGATATCTAGTCATATCTAGTATGACTCTTTCTGAATGACCCATAGGACAAAGACTAAATCAGAAGGGAAATTAAAAGCATATTGAATGGAATGGAAATGAAAAACAACAACAAAAAGTCAAAATTTGTGTGCCTCTGCTCCTCACAGAGGAGGCGGGAGGGCACACTTCCCACCATTACTGTCCCTGGAGAAGCCAGCACAGCTCAGGTGCTCAAGGGGCTGTAATGACCCCACATTTGGGGGTGTACTGGATAGGACCTGAGGAAACCTGAATGGACAGTGGACACCAGCAAGCACTGCGCCCACCTCGGGGATGCCCTGACTATGGCTTCTCCGACAGGGAGGTGGACTTGGGAAGCAGCGGCACTGCCTCTTACTGTAATTACTCTGTGAACCTAACAGTCCTCGGAGCCTTTCTTGAAAACATGCAAAGAATTGGGACAGCTGCTCCCCTCAGATTTAAACACCTAAATCAAAAATGGGCATCTGAGGTAAATACACGCTTTTCAGAGGAAGAAATACAAACAGTAAATAAATATGTGAAAAAAAGTTCAGGCTGGGGATTGAGCTCAGCAGTATAAGCACCTGCTTGGCAAGCGCAGGGTTCTAAGTTTGATATCCAATACAAAAAAAAAAAAAAAAATTCAACATCACTGGTCATTCAAGAGATGCAAATTAAAACGACACTGAGATTCCACCTCACCCCCCCAAAAAGGACTAAGTCAACCAGTAACAAACGCTGGTGGGCTGTGGGGGAAAAGGAACGATTCTCCACTGTTGGTCAGAGTGAAGACTGGTGTAATCACTGTGGAAATCAGTGTGGAGATTCCTCAGAAAACTAGGACTAGAGGTCCCATTTGACTCAGCTATTCCTCTTCTGGTTATCTGCCCAGAATTAAAAACATCATACCACAAGGGATGTATGTGCACCCATGTTTATAGCAGCACAGTTTGTAATAGCCAGATCTTAGGAACAACCTAAATGCTCATCGACTGAGCAATGGATAAAAATGATGTGATATTTTTATACAATAGAGCATGGCTCAACTATTAAGAAGGATAAACTGGAGAATTTATGGGTAAATGGATACAACTTTATTTATTTATTTATTTATTTGTCTTTTTCATTTTTATTGGTACTGGGGATTGAACTCACAACCGCCAGCTTGTAAGGCAGGCGCTTATGCCACTTAGCTAAATCCCCAGCCCCAGGATGCAACTTTAGATCATAGGCATATGTGAAATAAATCAGACACGTGCAAACATCGTATTATCTCAATAGTGTGAGACACTGAAACTATATATATATATATATATGATAGTTAAGATAATTATACTACTGATTTCTTCAAGTTCACTGAGGTGAAAGATTTGTCCTGGTATTGTTCGGACAATTGAATGTAGATGTCTTGTGCTCTGGGTGAATGATTTGGGGATGACAAGGTGCAATGTATTTACCAGTTGCCTCTTGATTGATGTGGAGTTTTTTCTCTTTGAAATAAAATGGATTTGAAAAAACAAAACAAAAAAGGAATAGCTGCACCCACAAGGAGGGCAGGATAGCATGTGAAAAGGCACTAGGTATCCTTGGCTTGAAGAAAACACAGCTCAAAGCTGCAGGAGGCCGGGTCACACTCATTACCAGGCCAGCCAGCTCTGTAGGAGCTTAAAGTGGTGCGGCCAGTTAGGAAAGTTCAGCTGTTTCTTTTCCTTTCCTTTCTTCCTCCTTCCCTCTTTGTTCTCTCACTGTTTCTCCCTTTTTTCTCTTCCTTCCTTCCTTCCTTCCCTTTTTCTTTTTCTTTCATGCTGAGAAATGAACTCAGGGACTTCACATCCATTCCTTTTGCTAATTTTTGATTTATGAGACAAGAGCTCACTAAGTCACTGAGTTGCCCAGGTTGGGCTTAAACTTTTGATTCTGCCTCAGCCTCCAGACAGCTGGGATTACTGGCATGCACCATGTGTGACTTGCTTGACTGCTTCCTACAAGTGAAATCTGGGCTCCTGTGTGATTTTGTCGCCTGTGTGGTCCTTTTTAAGGGCAGTGACCATGCAGTGCACAAATGTCCACAGCTCAGGGCCACCAGGTATGGAGGACCCATGGGTGCCAGCTGGGAGGACAGGTCAGGGTGGATGCAGCAACAGAGAAGCCAGCTGGCCACATCTGTGGTTTCCAGGCTTCTTCTGTGGAGGTCCATGAAGCACTGAGGCACAGCCTAGAGTGAGGGGTGGATTTGCACCATGGGGGTGCAGATGGGAGGAGCCACACAGGCTGCCAAGGACCCCCTGGGTGATGTTCTCGGGTCTTGGTGTGTTCACATCACTGTCCTGTGCCAAGCACACTAACGTATCCCTGCCGTTGGTCTTCGTGTATGACTCCTGCCTATGTCCTGCTGGGCCACAGGTTCTTCCCTGTGGTGTTGAGGCTGATTAGGGGAGAGGATGTGGCCACCTGGAGCCTTTCCCAGAGGAACAGGGAGGCTCAACCAGCCTGGTTGTCACCCCTGCCTGCCTGCCTGGCTACAGGGACAGGTGGGTGCTTGGGGTGGTAACCCCGTATCTGTCTCTGCTCTTATGTTTGGCTGATGTTCCCACCGGACTTGGGCCCCACTCTGTCTCCTTCTGTCCCTGTCGCTGTCCTTTTCTCCTCTGCCTTAGTTTCTCCCTCTACTCCTCCTCAGCTGGCAACACTTGTGCTGATTTATAAAAATAACCCAGAGGATTTCCTTTTTTCCTCCATTCCAAGAACACTCTAAATATTGTGGGAATTATCTGCTGCTTGAATGTTTGAGTGATCCCATCTGTGAATTCTTAGACATCATTGTGTCTTTTACATTCTTTTGAAAATGAATTTTGTACAAGGCCTCAGGGGACTGTGTACTGGGGGTGAGTTGCTGCATCCCTGGCCCTGTCACCCCTGCTCTGGTCATTTCCCTAGCTCAGGCTTCTCCTGCTGCGCCCATGTCTCTCACCGGGGCCTTTCCTTGTTTTGTCAGCTAGGCCTTCCCAAGGCACCTGGTCCTGTAGGTTGAGGCATTGCATCTTCTGCAGAGTCCTGCAGAGGTGCAGCTGCTCTGAGTATCACCTGTGTTACCTCTCAGCTGACAGGGGTCTTGCACTCTGAGGCTGGGTGGTGGATCACAAACTTGTCCTTACTTTGAGAGCTGTTTATGTGGCCCAGCATGTTCCTGGAAGCTGGAATTATAAGTCACTTAAAGTGTGTATTTCTCTTTATTGTGAGGAGAACACAAACATCACCCTTTCAACTAGTTTTAAAGTACGTAGGTCTGGAGGCTGGAGATTTAGCTCAGCGGCATAAGCACCTACCTTGCAAGTGTGCAGTAGTGAGTTTGATCCCTGGTATCGATAAAAACAAAAAAGACAAAAAAAAAAAAAAAAAAAAAAAGTACATAGGTCCGTGGCATCAGACACATTGCCTGTGTTGTGAGAACCATGTCTCCTTCCAGAGGCTTCCTCTCTGACCCCGCAGGAAGGGGTGCCGCCTGTCCCAGCCTCAGTGCATCTGACCAGGTGATGTCCTCTTCCTGGGACACCTCCCCTCCCTGCCTCTCCTCTCCCCTCCCTTCCCCTCCTCTACCCTTTCCTCTTCCCTGTGCGCTCTCTTTTCTGAGTCCCTCCTCTTTCTTCCCCCTCTCCTCCCTATCCTACATCCTCATCCCTTTCCCTTCTCCCCCTACTCCTACCTTCCTCTTCTCAGGTCATGGGCTTCACTCCCTTTGTTATGGTTTGTGTGTAGATGTCCCCTCAAAGCCTCAAGCAATCATGCATAGATGGGGCTTTTTCAGAGGTGGCTGGATCTAGAGTGTGTGATTGACTTATGTACAATGTGAGGATTAAAGATGTGTGATTACTCAATCAGTCCACTGATTGGTTTGACATCACCCTAATCCCAGAGGCCCCTCCTCCTAGGGGAGGTGAGCGCATGTGAAGACAGGGTTCTCTTCCACCTACACCCACAAAGGCAGAGTGGTCTCTCCAGGGCTCCTAGGGGAGGAAAAAGCACTCCAGATCCAGCTGTGGGGAGGGCAGGGCATGGGAAAGATTCCACAGGGTCACTGGGTTCCAAGATGGATGCTGGCTGTGGACATGAGAGGTATGAGCCACCCACTCCTCTCCTAGGGTTGGTTTACATGAAGTCCTGGTCTCTGATCTCCTTTAGTTTGGGCACTCCTGGCAAGGATAGTGTCAGAAAGGGCCCCGCACCATGCATGGTAAGGCCAAGGCACTATGGGGGTGGCTGGAGCAGGGCTGGGTCTGGGTTCGGAAGCTGGCAGTACCCTGCTGTGCCCGGTGGGCAGGGGCCAGTCTCAGGGATGAGCCCAGGGCTGCCCGTGTCTGGGTGCTATGCTACTCAGCTCACCAGATCAGATGAGGGCCAGGGCTTGCAGCTGCAGTGGGAGGCCGTAATTATAGGTTTCCTTCTTGCAGGCCCAGCAGCAGGGCGTGTGGGGAGGGTTGTGGGGCCTGCGAATCAAGCACTCACAGTGGGAGGGATGCCTTGTGCTGAGCCACTCACAGCATCTGCCCAGCCAAGGATGCAGCAGCCCAGGCAGAAGCTGTCCTGCCATGAACCTGCACCCCACTGCACCTGTCCTTGGGCTACACGGGGAGGCCTGGGAAGCAGACCACAGCTGTGCACCACAGACACACAACTGCAACACAGCCATACCCTCCAGTCCAAATCCCATTTAAACCGCCGGCTGCTGCCCGAGTGTAGATCCACACATGTACTGCACATACACACACACACACTACACTCTCACCAGACAGCACTGAGCCTCTCCCCTAGAGGGACACTGGCATCTGACCCAAGACATGGAAGTCCTGAAAGTCTGATTCTGCCTTTCTGTCCCCAGGGGCTACCAAGGACATGGGGAAGATGCTAGGGGGTGATGAGGAGAAGGACCCCGATGCAGCTAAGAAGGAAGAGGAGCGCCAGGAGGCACTGCGGCAGGCGGAGGAGGAGCGCAAGGCCAAGTATGCCAAGATGGAGGCTGAGCGAGAGGTCATGCGGCAGGGCATTCGTGACAAGGTGGGCACCAGGCACATATGGGGCAGGGGCCATGCTCTCTCAGGCCAGCCCGGGCTTCCTCCCACCTCTGTACAGCTCTGGGGAATCCCAGGTGGATGTGGCTCATGTTGGGGGGTCAGCACCCTCTTTTCCTGCAGGGGGGCTGTCCTGGGATCCTGGCACGCAGGGAGGTATAGGGAGGGGTGGGTCCACCCATCAGGTGTGTGGCCTGTCAGGGTTTGCCCCCAAGGCTCAGGGCATGGCGTCAGGCACCCAGGGCTAGTTCCTCTGCAATTTGCAAGATGGGTAGGTGGCAATCTGAGGGATATGGTGAACATGTCCTCTGGGTACTGTTGCTGGATGCAGTTGCCTGGCATCTTTGATCCTAGTCCATGTGGGGCTGGCTTTTGACTCTGGAGATGGCCTGATTCCATCCCTGGCCAAATGACCCCAACTCTCAAATTCAGTAGAGGCAGCTGCAGGCTCAGAATGACCCTAAGTCTCCGTGTACAGACTGGACTCAGGCCAAGCTGGGTGACCCATATCCCAGCCTTATGTCCAGCACCACTGACCTGGTGGCTCAACCCTGTGGAAGGCTCCCTGCCCCACCACCTCCAGATGCCTCCATGTGTCAGGAGCAGAGTCTGCACCCTGGTTGGAGTGAGGCCCCACCTCGTTCTGCCACCTTCCCAGTCCACAGAGTCCATAGGACCTGGGCACAGGCCTAGCGCTAACCTGGGAACAGGACCAGTGAGTGCCCCAGCCCCTCTTACCCCACTGGCAGGGCATTGGGCAACACGGTGACTGCCGCCAGCACTGCCCTGCTATAACAGTGCCATGGTCATGGGGTTAGGGGCGTGGTGCCCTGGGATTCCAACTGGAGGTGCCCCCTGCCTCTTTACACCCAGAGACACCTGCACCCCGCAGGGAAGAGACAGCTGCCTCCATGGAGACATCTCTGGGACATCCCCTCTAGTGCATTCTGTGTACTTCTACACAGTACACAAAATGGGGCAATCCTCCCTGCTCGGGTGGTTTCTTGAACCTGAGGTCTGGGACCAGGACCTAGCTGAGGGTGGTCTGTGACCCTCAACTCTGGGGCCAGCTTGCTCCGCTGTCTCCATGTGAAGGGTTCGCTGTCAGCTGGCTCTGGCCTCCCCAGGTTTCTTGCACTTGCTCCAAGAGGGTTTGGGCAGGGTGGGCATGGAGGCATTGAAACCAAGGCTGCTGAACCCAGACACCTTCCAGCAGAAATTCATCCCCTGGGTACTAGAGGCCTAGAGAGGTCCCTGCTGCTGCTTCCAGCTCCCTGTGGCTTCTGTGATGGCAGCACTCTCCCAAGTCTGTCTGTTCTGAGTCTGTGTGCTCTTTCTGTCTCTTGAAAGATGCTCTCATTGGATTTAGGGCTCCCTCAACCCAGGATGAGCTTATCTCCATACTTGCCTTAGTTACTCTACAAAAACCATTTCCAACTACAGTCATGCTCAGAGTTCAAGGTGACACGTGACATCCACTGCAGAGGGACACTGGGGATGGGCATGTAGGACACAGAGGTAGTAGAGGCCTGGCATCTTGCTGTGTTGCTGAGGCCACATCTAGGGCCCCTGCTGAGGCCTTGTCCTTGTCATGGCGAGGGACCCTGGCCAGGCCTCCAGTGGAGGACTAGGGGACAGGTCCACCTTGCAGGGAACTTGAAGTCTGCTGCTGCTTTTTTTTACCCAGGGCAGCTTTCAGGTGCCCTTGTGCTCTGTGGGGCCCCGAGCTCCTCTAGGGAACCCCTTCTCCTGAGGTGTTCCTATGTGAGGTGGGCTGGACTTCCCTTGGGCCTTTCTCTCTGGGTGTCAGCCACTTGACCCCCCTCCCCGCAGTATGGCATCAAGAAGAAGGAAGAACGTGAAGCTGAGGCCCAGGCTGCCATGGAGGCCAACTCAGAGGGCAGCCTGACCCGGCCCAAGAAGGCTATCCCACCGGGATGCGGTGATGAGCCAGAGGAGGAGGACGAGAGCATCCTGGACACAGTCATCAAGTACCTGCCTGGGCCACTGCAGGACATGTTCAAGAAGTAACACGGCCTGGCAGCCGGGAGCCGAAGCCCCTACCTGCCCCCTGTACAGACCCTCTCAGAGGCCCCCAGGGACATCGGGAGCAGCACGGCTCTCATGCCACTATAAGCCATAGTCCTAGGTCCACCCTTCCCGTGCTCCTCCCGTGCTCCTCCCACACTGACCGACACAGCCCCCCATGCTGGTTGGACCCCCCTGCCCACGCATCCACCACCCAGGGTCACCCCAGGACCAGCCCCTCATCCATGCTGGGTGTGGTCCATGCAACATGGGTAGCTGTGGGGTTTGAACTCAGGAGCACAGCCATAGTTGGGGGTGGGTATCTGGGTAGGGCAGCAGCGGCACCTGGCCCATCACACACGACCTGGGTTGCTGGGCCTGATAAACCCTGCTTCTGTCTTCCTGTCTGTTCTGCTGCCCATGCCAGCCCGCCCAGGCCTTGCTGTCTGTGTCCACAGGTCTCTTTCTGTCTTTCCCTCCCTCCTCTGGGAGGCTCGCCTCAGCCTGTTCCCATCTCAACCAAGGGAAACAAAGAAACAGGTCCAGAGTTCTGTTACCTGTGCAGCGCATGCTTTCGACCTGCTCCTCCCTGGCACTGTGGTCCCAAAGGGGCTCCTCCCCTTGCCAGGGGACACCTGCACTCCAATGCTTTGGAGACCTGAGAACATCAAGAGGGGTGCTGACAGATGGGTGCAGGGGCTCAACTGTTCCTGCCCTTCTTCGTGGAATGGTGTAGGCCCCAGGTAGGGGCTGAGGGGCTCCCTGCGCCCAGACCAACAGACCCAAGGGAATTGGCAGAAAGACCCTAGTGCATTGTGTCCACCTTCCTGTGCCCCTCCCTCGTTTGCCTCCCCCATGTTTAATTTGCATCACAATATGTTGAATCTCAGGTAAATGAGGTCTTCAGTATTTGATGAGTTTTATCTTGACAGAAAGGCTGTTGCCTCGCCCGACCCCTAGCCCTTTCTGTCTACATCAAAACTGCATTCAGTGTCCATGGGGTGGCAAGCCAGGGCCATAGCATGACACTGATCTTCATGACCTTACATAGTTCTTAGAGAAGCCATATCAATTAGACTGCAATACTAACCACGGACACCCTTCCGTCCAAAGAGGCGAAGCATGCCCGGCGCCTGCGCCCTGCTCGCCCCTGCCATCTTTTGCTCCTCTTAGGTCCACGTCTTTTTAAAATGCTTGTTTCCACGTTGAAAAGCCAGCTCTGAGCAGCCTGGGTGTTCTCTCATGTCAATTCCAAATCCGTGGCCAGTGCATGGGTGCCCAGGGCCGCCGAGCTTAGCTAGATTTGTGGGTGTCACTGTCTGTTTGTCTGCACCTGGCCTCCTCCTGCATGTCGGAGCCCTTGTGTGTGGTCTCTCTGGATGGAATCACAGCCAATAAACAGTGATTTCACACCGTGTGGCTGTCTATCAAGTCCCCACTCTGGCTGGATGACATCTTCCTGCCCCATCAGGTAGAAGATACCTCCTCTTGCTGGGGCAAATACTGGGTGTCAGGTCCTGACATATCCCCTGAGGGCAAGCCTCACCTATTATCCCTGTCTGGAAGGCTGCCTGTACTTTTGAGGCCTGTGGCAGCTCTAGGCAGTCAGACTAGGGGGAGCTTGGAGTCCATGCTTACACTGTTGAGTCTTCCCCAGCCCCTCTCCTCTGCAGCTCTGGGTCCCATATTTTTCAGGGCTAGGGCTGAGACCAGATAACACTTGCCTCCCCTCTGGGGGTCATGCCCATGCCCAGTCCACCCTGATGCTCAGTCCCATCCTGAGGCTATGGCCACTGATATCCCTAGAAAAGCCTTGACATACCTCTTGGGGCTGTCTCCCATAAGGTAGCATGTCTGGGTGTCCAGTGACCTTCCAGCAAGATCAGGCTATTCTCAGAAGGCAGAATGGTCCTCTATCCCTGATGAGGTCGCTCCAAAGGAGCTACTACTCTCTACCACAAAAGTGTCTCCCACACCCACCCCCTACCTTGTGGGGAGTGTGGGCCCTGGATGGGGCACTACTGAGCCATTCAGGGGATTGCCGTCTACAGAGGGAACACAGCTGTCCTTCCCAGCCAGATCCGAATGTCAGTAGGGTCTGGACAGCATTTCTGCAGCTTTGGCTGCTTCATGTGGCCCCCATAGTTCACCACTCTTAGCCTCCACTACTGGACACCCTGTCCTCCACTCAACGCCTTGTCTAGATCCTGCCTGATCTTGTGCAGTGACCTGGGTGTGCTAGGTTAGCTGGGACTTTGATCAGCCCATCCTACAGCAATTGGTTGGATCCTGGCTCCAGGATATGGGGTCTGAGTCCTCCAAGGAAACACTGGAGCCAGGCCCTGGGTAATCAAGATCCCTGCTCCCGCACCCTCTCCAGCGATGACAGAAAGATAAATTCGTACTGTAAGAAGCAGTAGATTCCACTATGGAGGAAAATGGCTATGGAAAGAAGCAGAGTGCAATGCTGAGCGCTGCTGCATCCTGGGTGGTGTGGGGACCACAGAGGCAGGGGGGAGATGGTGTCCATAGGAAGGTGCCATTCGGGGGCAGGGACGGCAGGGGCTGCTCTGTGTGGTTCACCTGGCCCCCTCCCCTGCGCAGGCCCTCGCGGCTAGCATCGCAGTGACAAAGGGGTGACTTCCACGCTAGGAAGGCGCCCTGGTACTAGAGCGGACCCAGCCTCTCCTGGCAGAGCCACCCACTCAGCCATCCGGGTCCCGGAGGCACGCTAACAGGCCCAACAATTAATCATTTTGTCCAGATCTGCTAATCCGCAGCGAGACAAACCCTGTTGGACCTGCAGAGCCAGCGGGGCCGGAACCCTGGGTCCGGGCCACCTGTTCACACCATCTGGTCCCCGGCAAGCCTGGGACCGAGAAGGCGCGCAGGGGACGGAGGGGCTCGTCCTGACAGCCCGGTGCCGCGCAGCGTCGCCGCCAACACAACTCTTCCCAATCCCTACTGAGTGCGCCTCTCGCCTCCGCTTTTGGCTCTGAGAAGGTCACGTGCAAAAACGTGCGCGGCCAATCAGAGCCAGAGAAGCGATATTGCCGGGGGAACCCGCCCCGCCCCTCCTCCGTGGGCGCCTGGCTGCAGACTCCGGCTTGGACCAGGTTTCTCAAGCCTAACCCTTGGCACCCACGCTCTTGGAGGCATCGCCTACCCCGGCCCTCTGCCTCTGGTTCCGCCCCCACGCCGGTCTCTGACCACGCCCGCTCAGTACCACGCTCAATGGTGGCTTACGCCTCCTCCTTTCTGGCCTAGCCTTTCATCTGACCCGGTTTCACCCCTCCATTCTGGCGGCTCCCTCAAGCCCCACCCCTTTGATCCCGCCCCCCCTAGTTCTTCCTCTCTAACCACGTCCCTTATAGGCCACGCCCTTCTAAAAATACCCCTCTGTCTCGCTGCCCTACATCCAAAATTTTGCACTACCCTCCCTCCCCCCTCTCAATCCTGCTCCTCCCCAGGCCCCGCCCTCCTCTGCCCCTTCCCTCTCAGGCCCGGCTTAGACCACGTCTATGCAGTGGGCAGTGGATTCCGCCCCCAACCCTCCCGGCGGACAGTCACGCCTGTCGGAGACTCAAGCCCAGCAGAGAATGCCTCAACCCGGGGATAACACCGCCCGGGGCAGCCTTCCCCCATAGTCTTTTACTCCTCCAGGCTGAGGCAGAGAGGACAGGGACCCCGCCAGGCTCCTTCCAGGTCCAGCAATTAGGATTCAAGGGGCCCAGGGCTGAGGGATCCAGGGGTGCCAGTCCACATCCTGCCCTTGGGTGGCTCGGAACCCCCAGCAAGGGCTGCCTCCTGTAACTTCACCTGCTGTCCTGGGGGCCAGGACAGGCCGGGCACAAGCTGAGGACCCACTCCAGGCTGGCTCTGAAACCGTGGTAGGGTCTATGCTTTCCTAGACCGAGCTCGGGCTGCATGCAAGCCTGAAGGATGCCAAGTGCTGAGAATGCTGGGTGAAACAGACTGGTCCACAGGTCCACTGGTGCCAAGCTAGGGGAAGGTTCTCGGCCAGAGTACTGAGCAGTCTTCACCACTGGCCCTGGATGCTCGAGGTTTGTGACACATACCTGCACGTAGGCCCAGGGCCAGTGGTACCTGGGAAGGTTTGCGCCTCAGAGCATGGGCGTCGAGCTGCAATTCAGTGAATATCCATGTAATAAGACTATCTCTTGCACCCTTCAGTGAGTCCACTGAGATTCATGCTGTATAGAGAACAGAGGACTTTGCCTGAGGAGATCTAGGGCCCTGGTCAGCTGGATAAAGGCCTGAGGTTGGGACTGGACAGGAGTGGGTCATGGTAGAAATGACCAGGGAGGGTCTGTTACCCTGGCAGAAAGCAGAAGGGTCATGGAAGTAGGCAGATGGCTATGTGTTGCTGGAGGAGCTGCAGGTGGGCACTGCCCTCTGCTTCGCTGCACCAATAGCCATTGGGGTCTCCTCGAGCTCTCCCATAGGAAGGTTCTGCACTTGGCCAGTCACCAAGAACCTGATCTCTCAAAGCATTCCTGGGTTTCAGGGTCTGTTGCTCTGACTCAGCCTCTGTCCATGTATGTCCTCGGGCAGGGTAAGAGAGTGGGCACATCCTGTGGCACTTTTTGGTGCCCTCTGCACTCCTCTCTGCCCCTAGCCATGGCAGGGCTAGGAATAGGAGCAGCAACTTGACAGGACTGTAGGCAAAACATCAGAAATAAGGTAAAGTAATCAAAATTCACCAACCTGGAGAAATCTAGGCCTGGGGCAGGGAGTAAGGAAATATAAAGCAAGCAAATGAACCTACCATGGGCAATCATGGCTGTCCATGACACAGCTGAGAATTCTGGGTGGTCTAATCTGAGAAAGATCACAGCCCAAATGGAGTTGTTATGATTTATATCTGGATGTTCCCCCAAGCCCATGTGTGCTCAAAGGTGGGACCTGTGGAAGGTGATTGGATTAGGAGCCTTGTGGCTGCCTGGTTGGTGTTGGGAGGTGAGGCCTAGTTAGAGGAGGAAGTTCACTGGGTCAGTGTCCAGGAAAGGTGTATGTCTTTCCTGGCTACTTCCTTTGCTCTTCCTGTCCCTATTCCCTAAACAGCTCTCTACCAGACCCTTGTGCTATGCATTCTACCTGGTGGGGACGTAGCTGAACAGACTAAAAGATAAGCCAAATAAACTTCTATTCTTTTTAGTTGTAAGTGTCTGTATTTTGTCTCTACAACAGGAAACTAAGCAGGATGGTTCACACAGATACAAATCCTAAGTCAGTATGCAAGCTGGAAGTCTCTGCCAGAGGTGCAAACAGCTTATGTGATACTCTGCCCCTGAGGTGGCTTCACAGGGTGCACAGCATGGTAGGGGAAAGGGTGACTTCACAGTGGAGCCACCTGCAAACACACCTCAGGTAATCCAAGTGACCATCACTAGTGACATGTTGCATGGCAAGCTGTGCAGATCTACTGTGCTGTGTGCAGAAGGGCATAGGACTTCTGTGGTTTTCCTCTCAGAAGCCATCACCTCTGTCCAGTCATCAGAAAATCATCAAACCATCCCCAGTGTGGAATGTGTGCAACATACCTGACCACCCCTCCTCAGAACTGCTAAGGTCACCAAAACAAAGGAAGCCTGTGAAACTCACTGCCAGGAGAGCCCAAGAAATGTGACAGGTGAATGTCATGTGGTGTCCTGGGAAAAATCCTGGGACAGAAAAAAAAAAAAAAAACCAAATAATCCCTAAGAGACTATGAAGAGAATGCTCTGGTTCACAGTAGTGTGGCTATGTGGACTCATTCACCACAATGAGCTGCTAATACCAGGGAGCTAGTCAGGATCCAGGAGCTCTCTCTGTACAACCTTCCTTGGCAAAAATGTACAATGATTCTCAAATTAAATCTCTTTAAGAAAAATTCACTAACCAGAAAAGGAGTAATCCAATTCAATTAACATTCAAACTCTAGCAAGTAACAGACATAGAAAAGAGGGGTCCCCTCAGCATCCACTTGCCAGCAGAGTCTCAATCATGTAGGATGGAAAGTTGGGACTTCCTTATGAATTCCTCTTCTTCCAACAGGACAAAGTGGGAAAGGCTGCGGGGAGAGGTTTGGTTAAAAAAAAAAAAGAGAGAGAGAGAAATAGAGTCAAAATTGACTTCACTGTGAGAACCCCATTTTGAATGGAGCAGGATGGAAAGAGCCAGCAAGATACCAAGCAGCCACTTTATAGAAAAACAACCAAACAAGTCACTTCTGAGTACAAAAACACAGACAAGAACACAGGCTAGGAGAAAAATAACAGGAGAGCGGAATAGAATAAAGACATTAACCCAATAAAACCCAAAGTTCTGAATGAAACAGAATGTGACCAAAAAGGTATCAAATGAAAGGGATTTAACATATCTCTTCAGTGATGAATAAAATAGATTAAAAACCAG